AGCCGGGTGCACTGACAGGCTAGCCTGGGACACCATGGGGATGTTCAGCGACAGACAGTCCCTGCCGCCTCTCTGCTGACTGGCAGGGGTCAGGCGGTGTGAGGAGCCTGTGGGAACAGCTGCCTGCTGCTCTCGGGTGAGGCTCCTGTCCCTGCACCCTGCCAAATTCCCTGGGCCTTCCTCCTTAACATCCGACTTCCTCATGCCCCTTCTCCAGACTGGGAGGACAGAACATAAGCCAAGGATGCATGCAGCAGCCCCTATGACTGCTGCTGCAGCCAACACACCAGTACCACTCGCGGCGGTGCCAGTACTGCTGCCACCGCAATGCTGGTAACAACCGCGGTGATGATGGCTAACAGCATTCGGTGCCTGCTGCCCACCAGGTGCTGGGCTAGGGCTGTGAACACATCTCCCCTCCACAGCCAGGAGCAAGGTGCTCACATCATCCCTGTTTATAGGATACCGCACTGGGGTGTGGAAGTTGTCACTTGCCCAAGGTCACACATTAGTGAGCAGCAGGGCCGGGGTCTGAGTCCAGGCTCCCAAGGAGCCACGTGGCGTAAAGAGGCCCCTGGAGGAGGAGATTTGGCAGGTGAAGGCTTTCCCATGTTTCCCACACAGGACAGTGTGGAACCAGCCCCTGCTCTGAAATCGAGGGAGGAGGGAAGTCAATGTTCTATTCATCCAGTGGGATGGTCATTTGGACTTGGTCCCGCGTAGCTTCCAAAAATCAACCCCACAGCACGAGCTCCCAGCCTGGCAATGTGCCTGGACTCCGCTGCCAGCCTCTGCCCCACGGCCACTGCAGGCTGCGCTGGAAGGACACCCCCACAACAGTGCCTCCCTTGGCAGATGGGGCACAGAGGCCACCAGAAGGTCACCAAACCGGTTAGAGGAAGAGCAGAGGTTAAGCCCTCCTCTCCCGCCCCCACCCCATGATCTTCCTGTGGTTCGCCTTGCAAAGCCATTCCTGTCGAGAAATAATAATCGATCCAGCATCTGCGTGGAGCTTTGGCATTCATAAAGCACTGCCAGGTGCATTGTCTCACCTGGAAAACTCCAGCGTCTCTTCACACCCCTGACACACGGGCAGGAGGCAGACAAATACGAAGTCTTTGCATACGAGGAAGGAAAAGCGGAGTATGTGTTGGGGTGGTTATTTCCTCCAAGTGACTCAATTCCAGTTGATCAGTTTTCAACCACCACCACCCCTGCAGGAATTTGTGGTCTAAGCCCCATTGTGCCTGACTGGCGGGAGGTGCCAGATCCAAGCTGCTGCTCCCGGGACCCAGGGCAGGACCTGGTCACCCTGCATGGATGTAACTCTTAAATAGGGCCTCCCTAGAGACTGAATGTGCTCCTCAGCCTCCAGCCCAGCCTTATCTCATTCTGTCTCAGCCTCTCCCTGCTGTTTTTCAGGCTTTTCTTATTTCCAGAAATTAAAAGGGCAGAGACATGCCCCATGACTTGAGTTGCAGTTGAAGACAGGGAAAATTCAGAGGCCCTGCTAGGAAAAAATATGCACTTATTTCATACACAAATATTAAATGCAAATTGAACCCTGACAATTGTACATTAAAAGACAGCAAGGCACTGAGCTTTTGTCCCTGCTGTTTGTCCTTGGGTCTTGGAGACAGGACCTGGGGTGCCACCTCACCTGCTCCATCTCACCTGCTCCATCTCACCTGCTCCA